GTTCTGCCGCGCGGGCCCTGCATGTGGAGCTGCCGTCTCAGCAGGTAACCCCGCGGGCTCGCGGCGCTCCGAACGGGGTCCCGTGGGCGGCGCGCTGTCCCGGTGCCAGCGGGAGACCCCGAGAAGTGGCCGGGAGAACTCGGAGGACTGACGGGGGCGGTCCGCAGGTTTTGTCAGGGGGGAGCTCCAGTGATGGCCGAACCTCTGGGAGATCCCGCAGTCCGAGGGGAGATCCCGTTACTGGCGTTGGGCTGTGTAGAGACAGGAAGAGAGCCAGCGAGACTCCCTGGGGGCCCGAGTCCGCCCGTCCCCGCCGGTGGGCAGCCGCGCATCCCCTTGCGGAGACCCTCTCCCTTATCCCGCCTCGGAACGGACCCGGGGAAACCCTGGTCTCCCACGAGAGACGGGGACAGTGCTTTTCTTTTCTCAACCCACTTGCGGAGACTCCAGTTGCTCCTCTTTCCTACGGCAGAAGCGAGGAGCCTTGAAGGTGTCTGGCATTTAGTTTTAATCTCTCCTGATTATGACCTGCTCCCCTCAGCTTCTCAAGAGAAATCCTTTGGAATTTTGGGGTTTTCTTCCTGACCTTAGACACCTCCCACCCCCTCCAAGGAAGGCATTTTAGCAATTTAAGGGGCTCTTTCCTATCTCATGCCTTCAAATGAGTATCTGTGGAAGGACTTGATGTATAAGTATAACCATGTCTCCATCCGTTGGCAAGAGCCTAATGGCTTCTTGGACCCACATTTTAGGGGGGTGATAAAGAGAGCACTGAGTTTGGGGATCTGACAAAATTTTTTGTATCACCCACATATCTGTGGAGTACTTCTTCCCTTCTCTCCCTCGCCCTGCTTCTGTCCTCCAAGAGGAGACTTTGCAGGAATATTAGCATTAAAGAGACTTTAAAGAAAGTCTCCTTCCAAAAAGAGGACCTCAGAAAAACTGTCAGTTATTGAGAGTTTACCTCGTTGGATTTGTGCTCTGTGCTAAACGGCTGGTAGTTCTCTTAATTCTCACAACTCTATGAGATAGCTGTTTTATTAGCCCCACTTTGTAGTTTGGGAAACTGAAGCTTGATGCAAAATCACTCATTCAAAACCTTGCAGTTAGTAAGTGGTGGGGCTGGGTTTCAGAATCCATCATCTGACTCTGTAGCCCATGCACGTGGCTGTGTGCTTGAGACTTGAGATTTGAGCAGCTAACTACTTTCACACAGGACAGAGCATGTTCCTTCATACCCTTTCTCCAACTTTTGATTTCTGTCACAGTTACTGGGAAAGATTCTTAAGGAGGGAAGCAGAGGTTGGGGGCAGAGGGTGGATGGGAAATGGAATGGATTTGAAATCAGGAAAGTGTGTGTGTGTGTGTGTGGGGGGGCTGCTAAAGGGCAGAGGGGAGTTGAGCTAATAGTTAAAGTGGTGGCCAATGAACTGAATTGTTTGTAGAAGCAAGGTGGGGTGTATGTGTGTGTGTTGGGAAGATAATTTGTGGAGAATATTAGGAGCTTGAGAGGAGTGAGGTTTGGATTGTATTTATGAGGTCCTGGGAAAGAGTAAAAGTCTTGAGGGGAGGGGAGACTAATTTTTGTGTGTGTGTGTGGGGAGGTGGGTTGTGAGAGTGGATACTGGGAGAGGCAGTGGTGGGCACTGTTAGAAGCAGCCTGGAGAAATCCTAAGGAGCTGAGGATCTAGAGGGGTTTAGTTTGGGAGAGCTTTGGGAAAATGTGGGATTAGGAAAGAGAAAGCATCATTTGTTTCATAGAGCTTGTTCTCTGGTAACAGTTCACAGTTTAAAAACATTTGAGGAAATAACCCAAACATGCTGTCCATGGAATAACTTCGACAACATTTGCAAATGTGTGTCAAATTTTTGGATTTGTGATGAGGGATATATAGTGACTTACATGCACAGTGAATGCTATATGAGTGCTGAGTATATGGTATTTACAGCTTTCTGGGGGTGTCATCCTTGAATTCTTGGAAGGCAGCCTATAGTATAACAGAACACTTTCACTTTTGCAGTTAATATTAATTTAGCTTTCTGGGTCCAAATGCCCAAGTTTTGGGGGCATAAATATATAGCATTAAAAAAATAAACATTTTTGTTAAAATGATATCTGTATACAGTAAACTGCACTGATGACTAGCATATAGCTCGATGAATTGTAGTATACAACTTGATGGTCACAAAGTGCTACCTAGATTAAGAAATACAAAATTAATAGCATCCCAGAAGTCCCCTTATGTTCTCTCCCATTTCTTCCTCTCCTTTTTCTCTGAAGGAATCACTATTCTGATTTCTAACATAAGAGATGAGTTTTGCCTGCTCTCGAACTGTATATAATGAAATCATGCAATATGATTGTGACTGGTTTCTTTTGCTCAGCATTGTTTGTGAGAGTCATAGGATATGTGTGCGTATAAAACTTCCTGTTAGCATTCATTCATTGTCTTTTTTTTTTTTTTGCTAACGGCTTTTGCAAAATTTCAAAGGTTTATATAAATTGGAAATCCAATTAATATTCTTTTAAATAACACCTTTGGGAAATTGTGTCATTTAAATAGATCCCATGCTGTTTTATTAAATGTCAATATTTCTAAACAAATAAGCAAACCCTATTGATTTAGGATTTCTACTAAAGGTGATTATCTCAGAGCATAGATTCAGTGGTTCCCCAGCCTACCTCTAAGGCAAGAGTTTTTCAACTTTGGCACTGTTGACACTTTGGGTGGGTAGATGGATGGGGCTGTAAGATTTTTAGCTCTATTCATGGCCTTTACCCACAATATACCAGCAGCATCTGCCCAGTACTAGCAATAAAAAATGTATCCAGATGTTGTCAAATGTTCTTTAAGGGGCTAAATTACTCCTGGTTGAGAACTACTGTTCCCAAGCATACTTTCATTTTAGGGAAGAGAGTATCCCTACTATTACTATTCATTTATTCCAGTCTTCATTAAATCCCATTGATTCTAATGGCTGTAATGTTTAAAATACTAATTTATAATAGATTAGTTCCAGAAGTATTGGACCCCCCCACATCTGCCTCCAGAAAAAGACTTATTTTGTTTTTGTTTAAAGAAAGTTCACAAAACTGTGCATAAGGCCTAACTTATTTCTTTCTTATTTTAATCTACTTGTCTTTAAAAACACATACACTTTAGTTAAGAATGCATAACTCATGAACCTTTACATGTATGAGTACTAGCTACAGTCTATGATAGATACTTGACTGTGTCAAATGAAACTACTACTTAGTCTTTGCCTCCTTTTGCTTCTGTATGATCTTACTTTAACTGTAATTTCAGTATGAACTAGTCACACATTTTGAAGACTGCTTTTGCTCTGTAATGTTTGGTCGAGGTTTGAAGAATAACTTCCTTCACACCACTAGACTTAGGAGTCTTGAAATAAAAATACATGATTTGTGATATATTTAATATTTCCTTAAAAGTTTAATTGAGAGCATTTCTTTCTTTCCCAAAGACTTCCTCACGTGAGTGTAACTTAACTATGTTTCTCAGATACTCAAAGTGGGGGTTTTTTAGTGATTGTTAGTGATCCTTTTTGGGAGTCACATATTTCTTTAAGATTTGGTAAAAGCTATAGACTCTTTCCTTAGAAAATGCAGTTACAGACATACATAAACACACAATTTTGCCTGCAGGTTTGGTTCCCTTGAAGTATAAACAAAAACTCTCAAATAGTCCAAACCCAGTTTAATCCCTTTCATTTTAAAAAATTAAAAATTTTTGCAGTTTCATGTTATTTTCCTTAGTTGTTCATGTCATTAGATATACATCTACCACATTTTGCATAATAATGTTTTGTTATGTTTAACTAACACCCCAATTGGTAGACTTCTGGACTCTTTCCAGTTTTTTCTATTACATTGTTGCAATGAGAGTATTCATATGTCATTTCTGTAGGATAAATTTTGAGCAGTGAAATAACTCAGTCAAAGGAGGTATATATATTATTGATATATATTTTATATATAATATTTTTAGCTTTAGACAATATTAGCAAAGTGTTTCCCAAAAAGGACATGCCTATTACACTGCTACCAAATTATGCCAGGATATGCATCTCCACTTTTTGTCAACTTTGGGTATCTTCAGTTTTCTCAATGTTTTCCAACCTGATTTTATGTATGCAGGTTTTATATATGTATTTTACCTAAATATACATATATATACACATATGGGGTGTGAAAAAGTAGGTTTATAGTTTTGAGTACACGAAACAGAGTTTATTCTTGTATTATTATTTATTAGTGTATTCTTTTCTATATGAACAATTGTAAACCTACTTTTGCCCACCTCTGTATTTTTGGTATTTAAATAAACATTAATTATTAGTTATATTTTAATAGCTTTGTTTTTGTAATCCAAACACTACATTAAGTACATGATCTCATTTATCCTTATACAACCCTATGAATTTCATGTCTTTACACATATTTATGTAGCATTTCTTTTATGAATTCTTTGTTTATATCTTTGGCATTCATTTTTCTGATTGTTTACTTGTTTTTCATTGATTGAAGAAGAGCATTTTTTTTGGAAGGAGGTGAGGCATATTAGTGCTATGAACCTTTATTTTCCTTGAATTTTTATTTTGGAAGTAAATCCTTTATTGTTATTATTTTGTTTGTCCTTCCTCTCTCCTGCACTTACTCTGATAACTGTAACTTACTATCCCACCCTTTCTTTGGGAAATTGCTTCCTCTTCTCCATGTGCTGGTTTTTTTTTTTGTTTTTTTTTAAAATATATAATTGACATATTAGTTTCAAGTGTATAGTGTAATGACTTTATATTTTTATATATTGTGGAATTTTTAAATAGACTTTATTTTTTAGAACAGTTTTAGATTTCTAGAAAAGTGCAGAAAGATCCCATATATCCTACATCCAATTTCCTTGATTTTTAACATCTTTCATTAGTATGGTACATTTTTTACAATTAATGAACCAACATTGATACATTATTATTAACTAAGGTTCATAGTTTATTCAGATTTCCTTAGTTTAAAAAAATTGTGATAAAATATATGTAACATAAAATTTGCCATTTTAATTATTTTAAGCATGCAATTCAGTGGCATTAAGTACATTCTCACTGTTGAGCATCCATCACTATCCACTTCTAGAGTTTTTCACAATCCCAAATAGAAACTGTACCCATTAAACAATAACTCCCCATTTTCCCCCTTCTGTCCCTGGTAAATTCTGTTTTCTGTTTCTACTTTGCTGATTCTAGATACTTCACATGAGTAGAATCATACAATATTTCTCCTTTTGTGTCTGGCTTATTTCAGTCAGCATGTTTTCACCATTCATCCATGTTGTAGCACGTATCAGAATTTCATTCCTTTTATAGTAATATTTTATTATATGTATATGCCACGTTTTGTTTAACTGTTCATCTGTTAATGGATCTTTAGTATTTACCTAATAACCTTTTTTGCGCCAGGATTTCATCCTGAAT